TACTAACGCGTTTAACTCGTTTGACTTTACGAACGTACCCATTATTAAAGACTTCGATACAAAAATGAAAATTTGTGAATTGGCAAAGAAGTTTGATCTACCGGAATTGTCGGTCAGAACAATTATAAAAGGCATAGAAAAAATTCTCGAAGCTGTGAAAAATGCTCAATCTTTAAATTCAAGTATCATTCGTAAACGTCACAGTATTATTGCTGAGATGAAAACAATGTTAAAATTATGGCGTAATAATCAAGTAAATGTGAAAAATTGTAAAATAATACAGGCCTAATTTGTTATACATATGTATTATCTAAGATTTTATTACACATTTTTTTCTAAATTATTGTTTTCTTTAATCTCTGGCCCCAATTAAAAATTATTTGTATGTATTTATATGCGAAATTATACCCCGACTTACGCAAATTTGACTTACACGGTTACTGCTCAGTCCCACCTATCGCGTAAGTTTGGGGTATTACTGTAATGGACTCTTATATTTTACGTTTAAATGGACCTATATATATCTGGATTTCTCATCACAATTAATTGAAAATGGCAAAGTTTCATCAAAATCAGCAATTTAAGTTCCATTATAAAATTAAAATACATGATAACAATAATTCTTCAGTTTACTTGAAGTTTTACAGAATGTTTGCTGGGAGCATTGCATTTTTAACCAACATTCTTAAATAATTAAAATATATTTATCTATAATTTAAAAACTTCATTATTAACTTCAACAGAACTTCAATATTGCAAGAATTATAATAATAAACACTTAAGACCAAAAAGGATATATTCCTGGATGTCCAACTGAACCATATGCATAATCAGGAGAACAGATCAGTTTTGCTCTTTGACCTAAACTCATCTGGAATAAAAATTACTATGTTAATATCTAGGTTTTAAAAACTCAATGGGAGTAAATAATAAAAATCATTCAATTATTTCTATCAGCTTGTCAACTTGTCACAAGGCTAAAATCATAACTTGTTTTGTTAGGGTTTATTGAAAGGTTTAGTAATTTAAGTGACTTGTTTATATGATCTATATCTTTTTGTAGTGTGTTGGCAACTATTAGCTATTTTTATGTCATCAGCATATGCATTTATAAAAGAGGTATTGATGCTAGAGAGGTTTGTTAATATAAGCTATAAAAAATAGATTGCTGAGTATAGATCCCTTTGGAATGCCAATTAGAGGAGAATATTCACTGAAATAGAAATCAGGTATTTTAATTTTATAAATACAAAGTAGAAAATAATTATTAAGCCATGTTAAAATAGTGCCATTTATATTAAATTCAGTTGACAGTTTATCCAGAAAAATATTAGGAGTTAAGAGTCAAAAGCTTTAGAAATATCATTATAGACAACATATGTTGGGAGTTTTAATTCAAAGTTTTTCAGTATTACGTACTGAATTTCTAACAGATTACTAGTGGTTGAGAAATTGTCTAAACTAGACTGTTGGCAAAGAGAGAGGCAAGATGTAATTGAATAATACATTGATCTATACAGGCAGGTTTTAAAAATTTTAGGTTCTTTTTTAGGTAACATAGAGACTACAGACATTGATCATTGTTTAGGTAAAAATCCAGACTCAAGAATCAAGGGAAATAAATGTAGAAACACAGAAGCAGAAATAAGTGCTAGCTTTTTACAAAAAATAGTAGGAATGTTATCAGGACTATAGATGAAAGTATTTACAGATTTTATGACATCAAAGAAAATTGCTTAGGAAAATATGGTTTGGGAGGAGGTGTGACCTAATAGATTTTTATTGTTTAAAATATGACATAAAAGTTTAAATTGACCTTCAGGTATCACATGGAAAAAATGTGGTTTAGTTTGCCAATAGTGAGATATATGACATCTATAATCAATGTTGTTGCAACTTTCGGATGCACTTTTAGAATTTAAGAACAAAGAGCAAGAATGTTTTAGGATCAAAAGCGAAATCAGTAACAATTTTGTGAAAATAATTTAGATAATTTAGTTTACATTCTTTGTAATTTGTAATGCTTTAAGGTAACATTATAAATGTAGAGTGAGCAGGGATCTCTGTTTTATTTTCATCTACATCATAAGGATCAAATATAATTGCACATTTTCTTTAGTGTTCTTGTATGCCATTTTTGACTGTTTAGGTTTATTCTTTTATAATTTAAGAACTGCTTAATAGGGTGGGAGAAAAAGTTATAAATATTTAGTGTTTATTGTTTAATGTTAATTGAAGGATCCAGAAGAAATAACCAATCAAGAAAACTCAAATACTTAGACAATGAAAATCATTTAACTGTTGACCAATTGGGAATTGAAATAGTACAAATGTTATATGGGATGAAGGTGTGAATTTTATTAAGAATAATTTGAATTGTGCAATGGTCAGATTTAAAACTGGTAATCGAAAAAGTAGAAATTTGAGATTGAAATGAGAACACCAAGTCAAAGAAGGCATTCTGTCAAGTTGGAAAGTAACTTTAACACTAGGGCCTCCCTAGCACCATCATATTCAGAAATAGATAATCCTGAGTATTTCTTTTTAAACAACATTTATTATTACTTTATTATTATGTTAAAGTTGACATAAAAATAACTAATAGTTGCCAACATACACTACAAAAAGATATTAATCATATAAACAAGTCATTTAAATTATTAAACCTTTCAATAAACCCTAACAAAACAAAAGTTATGATTTTTAACCTTGTTAGAAACTATCCCAATAATAATTTTTTCCTTAATAGCCAGTGTCTAGAGATTGTTAAGTGTTTGTGACCTTGGTGTCATATTTGATAACAGACTTTCTTTTAACCTACATATAGAAAATCCAATAAAAAAATATCATCTGCCACAGAATGCTTTTGCGAAATTTTAAAAACATTTCAAATAAAAACACACTCCATGCTATTTTCTTTTTGCTAATTTCTAACCTTTAATTGATTATGCATTACCTACATCGGCCTCAGCTCCTGCATCTGCATTAAATAAACTTAATATAGAGCTAAACAAAATTTTTTTTACTCTCAACAAACTATCACATCTTCCATCCACTAACTCTCCTGATGTTGAGCAACTAAATGGCGTTCCTGACTTATTCCAACATATAGATTACTTTCATATTTATACATATAAATATTTTAACAGCCTTCCTCCTGCTCATTATATCTCTATCTACATTCTACATTTAACAGTAGATTAACTTGTATCCATATGCCCTACTGCCGCCTGAATGTAACAATCAGATTGTTTTTTTCTACTGCTATCAAAATCGAAGATAATTTCCTTGACTTCTATAAATTCAAAGCCATTTGTAAAAAGATACTATACTCCAAATAATTTTTTATTTGTTTTGTTATTGTTTTATTACTTTCACATTGTTTTCTCATTTTAGTTTTATCACACTTTTTTTTTAATAATTAATTGGGATTGTTGTAATGAGGGTGGCAAATATTGTCTGTGAGACATTGCTAAATTCAATATAATAAATAAACAAACAAACAAATACTTTCATGTCTGCCATCATGGAATTTCTCAAAAATGGGCAATACAATGTTTTTCAAATTGAACAAAAATTTGAAGAGTCAGGACACAACTGTACATGAAGCTGATAAAATGTAGTGTTTTAGATAAATTCATGAAACATTTGGATTATATAGTCCATTGGGCATAGTCAGAGAATGATAGAATGCTGGTCAAAAGAACCAATGAGGTCTCACAAATGAACAAAGATTACAAAGATGTATCACAAAATACCAATCTTCCAATCATCATCCCATTCTCAAAAGTTTGGTATACAAAAGGTACTGGTGTCATATAAAAAACATCACTAAAACAATTGCACCATGTTAGTATCTTATAAAATCTGTAACATTTGCAGTAAAAGGCATGAACAAGTTGTGCCACTTGTCAAAGTTATCAAGAAAAAATTAACATTAACAAACAAAATATCAAAGATATCAAGTTTTTATACAAATATTTCCAATTGTGAATAGGAAATTTTGGGAAACAATTTTCAAGAGTAACAATTAAACCTTTTGAATCTCATACAACCCCGATGAAAAAACCTCGAACAGCATGTTATTTTAATTCATCTCTAACTTATCCTTCAATAATATCAAACAGAAAAATTTTTGTACAGTTATAATTATTTTATATTAGTAAACTTTTATTATAACTGAGGATTTTATTAATACACAAAAATTTTTCATGTTCATAATATATTAAAAAATATTATGAGCAGTTAAAAAAAGCATTTGCAACAAAAAAGCTTGGACAGACCCATTTCTGACAAATAATAGAAGTTGCAGCTGAAGTTCAAACTTTAAACTTATACGGCAAGCAGAAGTACTGTACATGTTTGACATTTGAACTACAAGTAATGCACGTTGCACCACACATTCACATAGCACACTGATTCATGGGATATTGTTGAAAAATGGTGGAAACATTTAAGAACGACAAAGGTTACCAAAAAACGTAAATAAACAAAATAAACTATTTAAAAATATTTAGAGGATGTTTAACCTATCCCATGTTGAAATATTTCTCCATTGCGAGTTGCGCCATGTTGAATTTTTGTCGATGTTAAGCCTAACAAAAATTACATGTTTTTGAAAAAGTAATCATGGCTATCATGTATCGTCTGAAATTTTTTTTTATCTTGCACAAACAAAATAGATATATTAATAAATGTAAAAACAAAAAAAATTATATTTCAGAAATTAGTTTTAATATAAAAATTATAACAACTAGTGACATCTAGTTTCAAAAACATTCTGATGCTGAAACAAGATATCTCAAGTCCACTGGTCAAGGTCAGCATGTTGCAGCCTGAGATATGTCAAGAATAACACGAGACAGGTTAATAATACTAAATAATTATTTTTTACTTTAATTAGCATTGTGTCTCCTACCGTACAATATAATAGTAGGGCAATTCCAATGCATTTTGCCTGTTCTCACGACATACTTTTGTTGAAGGAAGTAGCGGCTTATATAAATCCGAAAGCAGCTCAGAAAATTATTTTTAGAAATTTACAAACGTATTATGCTGTTGATGGTAGAAGATGCCATTAAAAACAAACCTACTTCTACAGAATTATGATAAGCTATTATAAACACAAATATATAAAAATTCTATAGGCACTTCACATCACTTGCAAAAAAATTGAATAATTAAATAATTTCTGGATTAAAATCTTGTTTCTTTACATTATTATTCATAAATGCTTAAATAATCATTATTTTAATAAAATACATTATAATTTTAACCCAAAACAAAGAAAAATGCAGACGTTTAAGCCAAACTTCTATTCACCATGCTTGACGTTCCAAATGAAATTGTCAAACTTCTAGGATTTAGAGATTGGATACTATCAATAACACTATCAGTACTATCAGTGTTTTAAAAATATCCTTGCTATCGATAGTCCAATTTTCTATTGTACTTTTCACACGAAACTAAATATTTATTTTTCATCATCATATTTTAAATTTAGTTTTAAAAATTTTTATTATTATTACCTTTGAGTAAATGCCATCTATTCTTTCTAAGTTTATCTGTTAGCCATGAAGTTTTGTTATCTATAATTGTAGAATGTCCATCAGAAAGAAATTAACATTTGGGAGTATTTCCAAATTGATGAGAAAGGCAAACAACTTGCAAAATGTTTTTTTATGTAAAAAAATGTACAAACATCAGGAAACACATCAAATTTAAGGGATCATATAAAACATTTACACCCTATTAAATTTAGAAAAGTTTTTATTAGCAATAATGTCAAGTCAACTTCAACATCTAGAGCTTGAGATTTAGAAAACTAATCATCGAAGTGGCCATTAACACGACAAGAAAAAGTCAATATTTCATCAATGATCAAGATGTTTTCAATATCAATAGCAAAAGGACAACTAATATAAATAAAAAATTGGCAATATTCATTGCATGTGATTCACAACCATATTCTATCATTAATGATAATGAATTTGTGCAATTTATACATGAATTAGAACCAAGATATAAACTACCCTCACCAAAATATATCAGCAACATACTTGTACCCAACTTATACAAAGAGTGTAAAGAAAAATTGAAAGTTATGATCAATATAGTGAAACATGTATCCATAACTACCAACATGTAGTCTTCTATAAATAATTGGTCATATTTAACCGTAACATTTAAAAATAAAATGTCATGTTACATGCCATTTTATTTTTAATGATATATTTACATTGTGTGTACTTGAAATTCTGATAGTTGCTACTGCTTATACATCAGAGAATATAACAAATTTGTTGAAAGAAGTTTTTTAAAATGGTCTTGAGAAGATAAAATTGTATGCATAACTACTGATAATGCAGCCAACATGTTAGGTGCATGCAGCATATTAAAAATCAGAAATCAACCTTGTTTTTCCCACAGCTTAAACCTCATCCTGTTCAGGATACTCTAGTAGGAGATGAAGAACTAATAAGAATAACGAAAAATGTAAGAAAATTATAACTCACTTTTAAACTTCAACCAAAACTTCTGATAAACTCCAAGATATCCAAACTAAACAAGGAAAAACACCTAAAAAAGTAACTGAAGAAATAGTAACTTGTTGGAATAGTTATCTAAATATGATAAGAAATATAGGACTTGCTTTTATTTTATTACCAAAATCTTCCTTGCCACTAACAGCTGAAGAAATTGTAGTTTTACAAAAAAGTTGTAATTGTTTGGAACCTTTTGAACAAGCAACTAACAACGTCTCAGGCAATACATACATTACAATATCTTCAATCATTCCAATTGTTCATGGATTTCCTGTCAAGCTAAAGACACTAGAAAATTCTGTTACCACAGAATGTAGTAAAAAGTTATTGCAATCATTAAAAGAAGAAATAATCAAAAAATTAAATGGTTACAAAACACAAACTATATGTGGCATTCCAACAATTTTACATCCTAGATTCAAAAGCCCTGCTTTTTCAACTCAAGGAGAACTACATACATTTTTCAAAAGCAATAATAAATGAACTTGCAAATATAATAAATTGAATTTGGTAAAAATAGTAAAAAACATGGCCAACAGTTATTAACATTTAATATACAATAAAATATAAATACAACTTTTTTCACAAAGTAAAACCTTTGCTTTTGTTCTTCTTCCCGTCATTTTTCACCATCAGCAGTCCATGAAAATTTACAAAGATATGGAGACGACCTTCCTTTTAAGGCTACTGCCTCAGCAATAAAATATGTGAAATATGGTAAAGTGTCCTCTGGTGCTCCTGCCACTATTATAATAATACATTTCGGAGACAGAGATGACCTTCCTTTTGAGGCAGAAGCCTCAAAAGGAAGGTCATCTCTGTATCTTTGTAAATTTTCATGGACTGCTGATGGTGAAAAACGACAGAACAACAACAAAAGCAAAGGTTTTACTTTATGAAAAAAATGTATTTATATTTTATTGTATATTAAAAAATAATAATAAATTCAACTTCAATGGATGCCATACCATCTGAACATGAAAATGAACAAGAAAATAAAGAAATAAGCCTAAATAATGTACCCAATCTTTTTGATTTTTTAAAAAGGAGTAGACATTCACCAAATACAAATAATTCAACAATGAACACAATTATCACTTTCTGGCAGTATAATGACCTTCAGATTCCAACTCGCTTCAATTTTGGGTCAACAATGATGAATATCCTTATTTGAATAATCTGAAAACAATTTATCACAAATATGGTTGCATTTGTGGTTCCTCAGTCAAGAGAACCTTCTCGACAGCCGGAGACATTATCTCTGAGAAGAGAAGTCAAATGAAGCTGAGAAATGCAAACTATTTAATATTTCTTAAAAAAATAATTTTTTAATTGAAGTGTAGTTTGTTTGTTTATTAAATATTTCTGATTGTTTGCTATCTGTCTTTATTTGACATCACATAGGTTAGCAATCAATTGTTAACCTATGTGAAAAAGATAACTGATAGTATTGATACTATCAATGTTTTGCATAAAAATATTGACATATATTGATAGTATCCGACCACTACTAGGATTACAAGATGGCGACGCTCGACATTCATGTTTTAGAGATGAAAATTTCAGCCGAAACCTCTCTAATACCAAAAGAAACCTGTCTAGAACACATACAAAGTTACCAGACAATGGAAGCACAACATCTCCACTTATTCTAAAGCATACACACACACACACACCACCTTTAGGTCATCATAAAACAAAAGTTAAAAAAGGGTATTACGATATAAGTAGAACAATTAATTGCATCAAACTGGAGTAGTACATATCATGAATGAATATTTGTGCTATTCCATAGACTATCAGACAGAATACTCCCAAAAATCATTTTCATTTTGAATGTCACAAAAAAATTGAAAATTTATAAAAAGAAATACTTGCATCATACACTATTAAAACACTTACTTGAGCTACTCCTTCATCCCATCCTCTAATAACTTCTCCTTTCCCTATTTGAAATTTAAAAGGCTTATTTCGGTCTCGTGATGAATCAAATATCTGTCCATTGTCTAATGTTCCTATAAATATAAACAATTTTTAATTTAAATATCATCATCAAAGCTGTTAAAAAATTAATTCAAATCATCAAATAATGAAAACAAATATTTTGAAGTTTTAAATAATTTTATAACAACTTTTATAATTTTATGAAGTCATTAAGAATAATTTTGGGTGAAGTTGGACGAAAAACATACTAATTCTGACCATCTTAAAAATATTTTAACACTTTTGTACCACATAATATTCTTTTAGTCTCAGGTGTGTAGTTTCTGTGATTAATGCAACAATTATAATTTAACATCGAATTTTCATTATACAGTGGTACCTCAGGATACAAAATTAATCCATTCCAAAACTGAGATTGTATCATGAAAATGTCATAAGGTGAATCATTTTTCCCAATACGATTACATGTAAAACCAAATAATTTGTTCCAACATGAAAAACACTCTCAAATTAAAACTAAGTAGTAAATTAAAAAAAAAATAAGTTTAGTAAGGAAAATACTGAAAAATGCATTTTGTAGTTGTAAATGTATAAATAACCATAATAAAATAATAATTGATTAAAAAATGTAGTTTTATTTGCACTTTACCTTTGAGGATAGACGACGGTGGAGGTGAAAACTGGTGGCAGAAGAGAGGGAGAAGGGAAATGATACTAAAACTTAACTTACATAGCATAATGTAACAATAACTTAAAAATAACTTAGAAAAGAAAAAAAAATTAGTGTTGTTTTATATATATATATATTTTCAATTTTCATTCATTGCTTTTTGCTTTCTTTTCTTCACTTCCACCAGCACTTTCACTGGATAGAGGTCGCTTGGTAAAATATCTATCCAAAGAGGTTTGGCTTTGCCTACTTTTTAAAATGTTTCTAAAATGACTTAGGCAAATGTCATTACTCCGAGCAGCAATACGGCCAGTGTGAACCTTTTCGGAATGTTTATTTTCAATAAAATCAGTCACTTTCTGATAATACCTCAAGATTTCCTTTATCGAGCCAGATCCTTCCACGACGAAGCAAACGCGCGGACTGAGACCAATGAACAGAAGTGAATAAAAAATGGCGCTGCGAACTAAT